TAACAAACATATTTAATCAATATTACACATCTGAAATAGGTAGACTATGCAGCACAAATGTACACAAAAATATTACAGCAATGAGTTGCAGTGCTAAGGGACGCGGGTTCGAATCACGCATGGAACAAGTATTTGCATGGCCTACAAATAATTGTTCCGGGTCTGGATGTGTTGCCTTGTAAAATATATGTATGTAAACCGCCTCCACGGTACAGGAGAAAATCATAGTGTGGTGTAAAGTTTAAAAAAATGAAAGACTGAATATAACAGAAGAAGGAAGAAGAAAGTTTACTTTTCTATTGGGAAGATTATTTTTATGACAAGTGATGAGATGATGAGAAATGATATGAAGATGAAGCCGTTGTTTCTCTAACTCATATTTCATTAATAATATACTAGTTACTAGTGGAATGCTTAGTCTCGGAAACGTATAGCTGCTGTGTATAAACACAAAAGGATAACGAACAAAGTCTTTAATGACAATATACGGTTCACGGAACTCCTCGTTCCACATTCAGCTGGGAGCCTCTTCCGTGACAGACGAGGAGCGTATAACGATAAATAAACACTGCGTGTCTTGAGAACAAAGGCGAGCTTGTGCGAGGAGAGCGTTCCCTTGTTCTCATTTTGTATTCTTAGACTTAGAACAATAAAGAAATATAGACAGAGCACTACGTACATTTGTTGTGACGTCAAACCAAGCTCAGGTTATCGTAAGAACTCACACTCACATACAAACATTTTTTTATAGAACTGACTGTCTTTTATAGCTCTACGTACATGCAGCAACTATATTATAGTTGTAGCACGAATAGTTCGGCGTGAACGGAGAAGGGAATACCTTTCACAGAATACCAACGTAAAATAGCAGCTTAATGCTGCTGTGTATTGTATGGCCGGTATAGAGACGTGGCGACCCTTTTTACTCGAAAAAGGCATTCCATCTCAGTATTCAGGGAAGACAACGCATTTGCATTTTAATTATAATTCGAGGATAGTTATAGATGTCTACGAGCCACAGCATCCACTTACCATCAGGTGGACTGTGTGCTCGTATGTCACCTTTATTCGGTATACAGGTGACAAAAACCTACAGTCCATCTGGCAGTTAGTAGCTACTGCAGTTCATGTGCAACTGTAACCATCTTTTATCAAAGCAGACTGCAGACACGTTGTGATATCTGGCGACTAAGAGGGAATGCCTCACAGCTTTAGTTAGTTTAGTTCAGACCAGCAGACAGCAATGGAAACACTATTTATTGGACAGCAGAACTAGATCGGAGTGTGGTGCCAACCACACGGAATCTCCCACCTGCTGATGTTTAAAGATCAGCTTTACTTTGGTTGAACGGCGCTAATGAATTGTTAGATACAGTTTGATTACTACTGTTATTTTACCAAGTGTATAGTCCCATGTGAATACGGTGTAATCGCACCACCTACCGGAAAGGATAGAAAAACGTCTGCCAAGGCAGCTTAAACTATATAAAAGTTGCTGTACTATACGGAAACTCTTCGTTTCACGCAACAATGCGGAACACCGTTGTGCGAACGGACAATGCCTGGACCCTCGTCAACTGTACGTTTGAATCGAAATTGTGTTGAGGTAATCGAAATGTTTCGATTTACTTTGAAACTTTTCGATTACCTCAACACAATTTAGATTTTAATTTTACTGATCATATCACGATGAAATTAACATGGATAAGGTAACATATTAAATGTAAATGTTGCCACACTTATAGGTAATCACAGCATGCAAAGATTCACTAGTGACTTGTTCGACAAACAAAATTTTTATTTCCCACGTCAATAATAAAGATCCTTCCATTTTACTTGTTTCCTTTTAAACTTATGTTTAGACGGCTTAGCATGGAAAAATATATATTCAAACTTAATCTCAACTTAATAATTTACACTAACAGAAGCCTTGACTATTCATTAAAACTCTAGCGTCATTCATGTTTTACTGAGAGAAGCAGGTCAAGTGCGTCAGTAATTGAACGCTAGAACCCTTTTAAATTAACATACACCTTCCTTTAACAAATGTTTATATTGAAATGCGTTGAGTCGCAAAGTAGAAAATGTTAAGAAATATTTTTACAGTACAGTATGATGTGACTTTATTCAGTATTAACCTACCTGTGGCTAATCACGCGTATAATTGTAAACGGACGATAATTTATAACTGAAATTATTTTAACTACTAGCGGTCTGTACTGGATTTTCCTGGGAAGGATCTTTAAAGGGGTTGTCTAGATTGAAGATAATCCTCAAGGATCGTTTGTTTTAGCAGTTTTTGATTCTTGCAAAAAAACTCAAAGATTTTCGTATTAAATATAGCTTCGATCAGTCCTTGCATTGCTTTTTAGGGTTCCGTGCCCAAAGGGTAATCAATGGGACCATCAATGGTTACTAAGCCTCCACTGTTCGTCTGTCTGTCAGCGGGCTGTATCTCATGATCCGGAATAGATAGACACAAATTTTCACTGAATGTGAATTTTAGCTGCCGCTATAACAACAAATAGAAATAAATCAAAAATTGAACTCTAGAAACGTGTATTATGATGGTACGGAACCCTTGTACTGGAAACGAGGCATTCCATCTTATTCCTCAGGGGTGACAACACATCTGCATTTCCATACGTAATCGAGGATAGATAAAGATGTGTATGGGCCGCAGCAACCACCTACCATCAGGTGGACTGTGTGCTCGTCTGTCACCCACATTCTATAAAAAAATGTTTCACTCAGCGAAACCGCACCTAACGAACCGTAACCGAAACCTAAGAACATGAGAAAACTGGCTTGCTACTTTCTAGGTTTAACTATCCTGAGATTTGTAAATTGACATTGGAAACGTTACTTTTAAAGTTATACAGTAAGTTGCTTGATATAGTAAAAAATATCTAATTTGCGTCCGAATACAATCTGGGCGTCTTCAAGGCAAGAGTGTTTTGGCGTTTGTTTCGCTAAGACAGTGCGATTTAGATTTACCATCAAAGCCTTGGGGCGCAGTGGCTTAGCAATGAGTCTAGCGCTCGGGGTCGCAGGTTCGAATCCCACACCGAACAAGTTTTGTATGGTCTACGAATAATTTTTCTGGGTCTGGACGTTATCTTTGTGTAATTTATGTTTGCAAACTGTTTCCACGATACAGGAGAAAATTCCAGTGCAAGTGTGATGCCTCAAATCAACAAATACAGATACATGAAGCGCTGCGTGCATTTCAAATGAAGTTGAAACATACTAACTTCTTAACACGCATGAATGCACACATTATTCTTCCTTAATTTTATATTTATTTTTTTACTTCTAAAATTAAGATGTTTTTATGTCAATAGCCAAACATCCTTTCATTGAAATTAAACGCCATAAAGTCGGAATAAAAGTCGCCATAGACAGTGGACAATAAACTCGATACACATTTTTATTGAATTTATTGAATTTGAAATGGAAGCAATGAACACTGAAAATCATCAGTTAGGGTTTTAATAAAAAAAAACTGTGCGTGTGCTCAGCCGTAGCTACTTTTCTATGATTATCTAATTCATACTTTGCACAGTTAAACTATTAATTTGCGAGTTTATTATCATTGGAATTAATGATACTCATCCCCATTTCCATTTCCTCCGTTCAAACTTAATATCGGTTGTGTGTTGCGTGTCAAACTGTAACGTTTGAAAACGACTCCACGGTTTTAATTAAACGGTTATTGGAGTTAAAGCAGCAGCTGGGAATGAAACTTTACGACTGGCTGACTTTAAATAATAAGCTGTGACCTGTACGTCGTTAAATTTGTTATAAAAATTCTAGTTTTACAGGACTCGAGGGACTTTTTCTCGCAATTTGATATTTTTATTTTGAAGTACTTATTGCTACGCCACTGCGCAAACCAGCTGTAAATTTAAGAGTTAAGAGTTTAAATATGTTTTAAATAACGAATGTCTTATCTATAAATGCATACGTATGTATGTATTTACTCTAAGGTTTAAATATATTCAAAATAAGGAGGCAGAAAGCGGAGACATTTTGCCTCTCAGTGCAGTGCTTTGAAACTTTTAATGACAAATCTCCGCTACAGAACAAACTTTTTACATTACACGTCTGAAAGTTTCATTCATTTTCATGAATAATTCTTCATTAATACGAAAATTATGTTACTTTGAAAGAATATTTTACAATATTAATATTAAGAAATAATTCTTAATTTTGAATTGTTGTTGTGTGTTTAATTTTGAATACCTACGCCCCACAGTTGGGCAGGGATCTACTTCTGTTATAAGAGTACTATGGTGCAACTATTATTATTTTACGTGGTAGAGTGACGTTAGAGGGGTATTATTATAGCTACATCAGCTATAATGCGGCCTTCCCCGCTCGTGCCGACCCCTTTGTGCTACAACCATAATATAGCAGCAGCGTGGCTGTTCACGTAAAAAATCTGCATCTGCAGCCAACTACAAACATAGAAGACTACAGCTGCGTCGTCAGCTCTGAGGACCAACACGGAATGCCTCACTGCCTGTACTCTGTGTAAACTATGTATTCTATTTAATTTTAATTGTTACAATAGATCACTGCGGTCGGATTCTGTGCTCCTGATAATGCTTTGTCACCAACAGTCACAAGGGAATGATTTCACTACACGTCAGTACGCGGCGCCGGTACAGAAACACAAGCGCGGCATCACAAAGAGATAATCGTTGCGGCGAGCTGTCGCTTCTAATGGCATCATTACTGTTGCCTAGCTCGAGTTCACTGCAAGCCAGTAGTGACGCGGCGCCGGTACAGAAACACAATCGCGGCATCACAAAGAGATAATAGTTGCGGCGAGCTGTCGCTTCTAATGGCATCATTACTGTTGCCTAGCTCGAGTTCACTGCAAGCCAGTAGTGACGCGGCGCCGGTACAGAAACACAATCGCGGCATCACAAACAGATAATCGTTGCGGCGAGCTGTCGCTTCTAATGGCATCATTACTGTTGCCTAGCTCGAGTTCACTGCAAGCCAGTAGTGACGCGGCGCCGGTACAGAAACACAAGCGCGGCATCACAAAGAGATAATCGTTGCGGCGAGCTGTCGCTTCTAATGGCATCATTACTGTTGCCTAGCTCGAGTTCACTGCAAGCCAGTAGTGACGCGGCGCCGGTACAGAAACACAAGCGCGGCATCACAAAGAGATAATCGTTGCGACGAGCTGTCGCTTCTAATGGCATCATTACTGTTGCCTAGCTCTAAAGAAAACTAAAGCTAAAGAAAACTCTTTAAATACAAAGAGAGGAAAATGTATTTGTTTCGCCACATAATGATAATGCCACATTACCAAAAAATTAAATTATTTAATATTAAAAAGTAAAATAGCAGATTCATACTGCTGTGTTTTTTTGACATATGGTGAGTATAGAGAATCTTAGACACTTTTTACTGAATATGAGACATTACATCTTAGTCCTCGGGGTGACAACGCATCTGTACTTTGATTCTTAATCGAGAATAAATGTAGATATCTATGGGCCACAGCATCCACTTATGATAAGGTGGACTGTGTTGGATTGGGTTGTCTTTTGTCTGTTACCTTTCATATTATCGAAAAATTTATGGTTACCCCTTAAAAAATTAAAATTGAAATGTCAAATATCCCCGTGATTAAATTGTATTATTTTATCTTTTTAATAAAACGTTCAGTGCGCCATTTTTTTAAATTACTTTGTCATTTTTAATCCGTTCCGGAATGATTAGAAGAGAATACCAAAAGACTTTTAGTTCACCCTTAATAAATTAAGTTGTATTATGCAATAAAGTGTAAATATATAAATCAACTAACAAAAACTCTCACTGAATACCAGCGATAAATAGTAGCCTAATGCTGCTGTGTGTCGTATGGTGAGTGTAGAGAACCGAAGACCCTTTTTTACTGGAAACGAGGCATTCCACTTAAGTCCTCACGGGTGAAAACGCATCTGCATTTTGAATCGTGATTCATAATTGACAATAGATGTAGATGTCTATGGGCCACAACAACCTCTTACCATCAGGTGGACTGTGTGCTCGTTTGTCACCATATCCTATTAAAAAAACCTACCTTGCCAGGCAGACGTTTTTCTGCCCTTTTCACCGACTATTTTTACATATATAATATTTGACTACATGTCCTATTAAAAATCCTTAAATTATCAAAAAATATTGTTTATCACTCATGGGCAAAAAAAACTATCCTATCTCTTAAGTTGGGCCAAACTGCACATGGTGTGCAAATTTTATTAAAATTGCTTAAGTAGTTTAGGAGTCCATCACGGACAAACAGCGTGACACGTAATTTATATAAATTAAGATTAACATACCCGAGTTGCCATTATTGAAAACTGCTGGGCACGCAAAGGAACTTTTTTGAAGAGAAAAGCTTACTGAAATATAACGTTCGTTTTAACATTGCACGTGGTCAGACATTTGTATAAATTATATGATGTTACGAACGTGTCGTTATAGAACACGATTACAGCTTTTGTATTCAATTCCAGTATTAAATTACAAATTTATTCCACTTGATTTTATTCTTCATTATTGTTCGTTGTTCCAGCGATTCTTTCATTAATCAAATTATTTTAACTTTTAGTTTTTTTTAAGAATTAGGGTGACAAACAAGCAAAAGGACCACCTGATAGTAAGTTGATGCTGTGGTTCAAATAGCCAATCGTAGATCGGATTTTTACATAGTTAAATCAAGTACAAAGTAACAAAAAATACTAATATGAATATAACATCGTCGTTTTGAGAGAAGTAGTTGTTTAGAAACACAATAGAATAACATTTTCGCGATAGAAAAAATCACAAAGATATCTCTTATCTTCATCGTGAACCGATTTTTTCTGGTCGTGATGCATATTATGAAGTAAAAAGTTAACTAAGTGACATCACTTATATATAATCTAGTTCTGTAAATAGGAAATTTTAAAAAGATTACTAAGTGACATCACTTATATATAATCTAGTTCTGTAAATAGAAAATTTTAAAAACTAGTTACAAATTTCAAGTTTTGTGGTTTTTCAAGTGCTTTACCCCGTACCCTTTACCCTTTAGTTATGATCAAGTAGCGACATCTGGTGACACACTATTACAATGTAACGAGTAAAGCCCGCTCGACTTCGTGAATTGCAAGAACTATACAAAAAATTAAAACGGACCGTATCCATTGAAAGAGAATTCACTATCCAATATCATTCCACGTGTCGAAACGGGGAATGGACAGCAGCATCTTGTTGGTCGCAGACCGTAACAATAAGCACACCTGGTAACTACATCCTCCCTTAGTGGCAAATCCACGGAGGAGGTGTATATTTAGCAGCGAACTTTACATAGGCGTAGCTTCCGAAGCCAGCCTTATAGATGGTGGGTTGAAGAATTACAGCGAAGATATCTATTGCTAAGCAAAACCTAAAAACTTTACTACTTAAATAGAAGAAAGAAGAAAGAAAGAAAGAAAGGTTTATTCTCCAAAATGACGGCATCACAGATAACATAAAAAATAAAAAAAATAAAAAAACACATAATTTACAAATAATATTGGCTATACAATACAAATTACAATATACTACATATTACAAACTATACAATATCTATACTCGTATGTGTCAAGGCGTCATCTGGGAACAGGAGCACACTCAGCATAATGCCATGATTTTTTTTCCATAGCGCTGATTTTCAGTGTGTCCAACCAGTGACCTACCGAAATCAGTGCTATATATATATATACTCATTTTATTATGTTTTAAACAAAATTATGATGACAGAATTATGCACAACAAGGGGGAAAGAGACAGTAACTATTTTAAGTGAGAGGGAGAGAGTAGCGTTCGAGGTCTAATGCCACTTCGACACAGCACGTCCCGTTTATGTTGATTTCAGATGCTCTTAGAAGGTCTATACGAACACTACAAAAGGGGAGACTATTAAAATACTTTAAAGGTCTATATACTACACTATGTAGTTATTGAAGAATGTAAAAGTATATAAGAAGTTGTTAATAATCTATGACGATGAGGTACGTAATCGTGCAAAGCGTTATAAACTTTGATCAAAGTTAATCTGACTTTGCAGTAATTGTGTTCTATATTTATTTTTAAATGTGTGTACTGCTTTCAGATTTCGCAAAGGAGGCGGTATATCGTTCCAGCACTTGGATGCGGCGTATTTGAAACTTCCTCGGAAAGCGTGAGTGCGGTGACGAGGCACGACGAGAGTATTCCCTCTAGTGCGCGTATTGTAAGTTTTTACATCACGTGACCATATGAGTTTGTCAGCAAGATAAGGAGGTGTTTTATTAAGCTATTGCATAGCTTCTATCGCGGGCCTTGAGTGCGGGAAAATCCAGAAATTCCGTAACGAAAAAAACCTCACGCTCTCCGACGGGCACGGAGGTGTGGCTTGAAGGCCGTGCATTGTCTAACGATGGTCTAACGTCGTTTCTTTTCCTCAGTCTTCCACACGGTGTTTGTGTATAAAGTGTTTTGAAATTTTGAATATGAATGATGAACAAAGTGCATTTATTATTAATGAAGAAAGTCACGAAAAAATAGTGAAAGAAAATGAGTGAGTACTCTATATACATACCTACATTTTATTATTATCACAAATGCAGTACTAAATTTGAATTGAAAATATAATACTGCTATAAAGATAACCTAAATTTTTGATAATAAAATGAGCGATATTAAAAGTAGCCCTCTTTATATACACACAAACACACACACGCGTATAGTTTAAAATTCTCAATTTAGATTCTCAATATGTATATATATACTCGATTAACCGGACTAATTGTTGCCGTTAGGGATTCGGATAATCGAAAATCCGGATGATCGAATGTATGAAGAAAAGCGGGTTTTGTGCATTTGTATTATGTACAAACATAATGTTATGTGTTTATTAAAAACAACAATTTCAACGAAAATCAATGTTTATTAAGAAATTATTATTTTTTAATAAATATTGATTAAATTCCATGAAGAGATATAAATCTATATAACCATCCGTTACCTGCGACAAACGAACCGCCGTCACCTAATTTTTTATTTAACTGTAATGCTTTTTCACAAAGCAAAGGGCCAGATATCATTTGCCCAGTTGATCGTTTTTGTAAAAACCAACAATACAAAGCGTCTTCTAATTGCCAATTTACTCGCGGACATAGGTCCTCATGTCCGGGACGGGGGTTTGTTAGCGCCTGATAGTAGATCGTCTTATCTCAAGCGGTGTGAAGCGACGATTAGTGAGGTGCGGGAGGGGGAGGCTAGCTGCATTTGTGCGCGCGATCGGTCAACCCTAAAGTTGGGCGTTATAACATACAACAGATAATATATTTCATTATATATTTTTAATCTTACAACACATTAGAATAATGAACCATTGACTGTTATAATATTGTATTCATTATCGTAAGAAAGCGTCATCTGTTTACGTTCACGGTCCAACCGTCGCGTCGGCCGAGACAATGGGAGTCAATAAAATACTACCTATATTCATTATACCACAAGGATTGCGTATAGCTTACACTAATTTAAACTCTAAACTAACTTAATAAGAGCTTATTTTACTAACACTAAATTATAACGGTAAACAAAAATATATTATTGAATAAAACTATTATTTACGGATTTTTTTCGCGTTTAATTACTTTAATTTATTTTTATTATTATCCCGACGTTTCGGGTGCTTTACAGCGCCCATGGTCACAGGGGGGACTGAGATGTTTGACGTCCCAATGTCATAGTTAGTCCGGCTACCTTCAGTTTTTTAATATTAATTTTTGGTCCGATTTACGCAAAACGAGCTTATAGTATCATGAAGTCTTGCAGTGGTATGCTTGAGTTTGGGTTTAATTTTGTTAATTATAGGATCCCAAGCAGATGGTAGCACCCAACCATCTTCTCTATTGAAATTTGTATGTTTTTTAATTACAATAGCCTCGCGTATCATCCTTGGTAGGAATCGGTGTTCTTTTGCGAGAATTTGTGGTTTATCAAATCTAATGTAATGGTGGTGACGATCTTGAACATGTTCGCAGACTGCAGACTTCCCTGCAGTCTGCGAACATGTTCAACGACGTGAAAAAGCTATTGTTGTTTTTGTTTATTTTTTGTTAAACAAAACGCGAACACAGCCGACGACTGAACTGAACTAACCGCGTGTACAATGTAATATTTAAAACTGTTATAATATATT